TGAATCTCTTATAGATAGACTGACCGTGTGACCGTGTCTGAGACCAGGACCAGAATTTTTGATAGTCTCATTGTCAATTCGACAGATCTCATTACACGGTTCTAACATTAGATAGTAGTCTCATACTGTCTCAGTGAAACTTACTGTCTACTCTTATCACATTTTTCAAATGAAACCATGATTTTCACTTCTCAATTTAAATTATTTTTATTGCTTTAAATGACTTTAAATCTCATTTGAGCATTATCAAAAAGTGTTACTTTTAAAAAAATTAAAAATAGTTGAAAAAAAACCTTAAAATGTCTAAAAATAGTAACTTTATGCCAAGAATGAGACTAAATGGAACCAAATGAGACCACTTTCTCATTTTTTTCAAGTCATGATTTCATTTTGAGATCTGATATATAGTCACTTTACATGTTTATTTAATGATTAGTCCCAGCGGGATTCACACCAAGAAATGTATGAGACCAGATCAAATGAGACCAAACATGAAATTCATGATCCCAGCGGCCAGTCTACTTATAGACTTATAAATAAGTGAACTATTAAAGAAGAAAGAATATGAACAGCATTTGAAGAGAATTTTCATAATTAATATAGAAGACTCTATTTTGATTTATTCAGATAACTTTAAAAATAAGAATTTGAATAGATTAAATGCAGACATTGCTTATACTGAAGATAATATCAATTTTATCTGAGATTTCTGAAATTTAGACTGTGAATCTGAAGTCTTTGATACTGAACTATTTATAATAGTGAAAGCTTTCAAACTCATTGAGATAAAATCTCATAAAAGAGAGAACAGTTTGAAAGAGATATGATTATTCTCTGATAGTCAAGCTGCTTTGAAAAGACTTAGAAATAGTCAGATTTATAATGATCAAATAAATCTTGAACTGATCTTAAACTCTGTTTTAAAAATTCAAAAGAGAAGAATATTAAAGCTGATAATTTATCTACACTGAGTTTCTGCTTATATAAATATTCATGACAATAAATTGGCTGATTCAGCTGTAAAAAAGAATGCAGAATTAAGCAGATCTATTCAAAAAATTATATTCTGATCTTTTATAAAGAGAAAAATAAAAGAATCTTATTTAGACAAGTGAAATAAAAGCTGGCAGAAATAAAAGAAGAGTATACATTATTCAAGATTTGAAATAAAACTCAAGTGAAAATCTTGTTTAATTAAATATAAGAAGAAAATATTCTCATCTATAATATAGCTGAAACTAGAATATGACTATTTCAAATCTTATATACAAAGATTTGATGATAGATTTGATTTAATAGAATGCTCATTCTGCAATGCAAATGAGAGTTCTGAGTATATTGTAATACACTGTGCATTATATAATAGTCTCAGAGTCAGATTGAAAGAGAAGTATAATCTAAATTAATTAAATATGAGATTCTTATTCTCAACTGAGACAGGAATTAAATAGTTAATAGACTTTCTATCAGAAACTCAAGCAGCTACAAGAAAATAGCTAAATTCAGAAATATCTGAATATGAAGAGAAGAAAATCAATCAGATATAGTCTGTTAAAACAGCTATATACTATCTTTTAATAATTTGTTTTATTACAGTCTCTCTTTACTTGATCTTTTACTTTCAATTTCTTTCTATCTATCTATTTAATGTGTCTATCTTTAAGACTGTATTCTCTTTTTCTTTGTCATGATATTGTCAAATGATTTCAAAGTATCAGAAGATGTTAAGATACTGTAATTTATAAACAGTTTTTATATTCTGAGCTGAAATTTTCTGATTTTGTATATCTGAAATTGATGAATATATAATAGTTAACTTTACAGATATAGAAAAAACTCTGAGAACTAAAAGTTCTTAGATAGATGTCATAGTCTCTAACTGTATACATCTATAATTGAAGAATAATAATAATAATAATAATTATATATTTCTTAGCATGAATCTCACTGAGACTAATTATTATAAAAATATATAAAGTAATTATTAATCAGATTTTAAAATAACACTATAACTTAGAAAAATTAAGAAAATAATTTCATTTAATTTTATTTACTCTTATTCTTAGTATAAAGTTACTATTTTTAGAGATTTTAAAGTTTTTTTAAAATTATTTTTATTTTTTTAAAAAGTACTAATCTTTTATAACACTTAAATAAGATTTAAAGTCATTTAAAGTAATAAAATAAATTTAAATTAAGAAGTGAAAATCATGATATTATTTTAAAAATGTAATAAGAGTAGATAGTAGATCTCACTGAGATAGTATTAGACTACTATTAAATCTTGCCCCGGTGGCCGAATGGTTAATGCGGCCACCCGGTAGCACCTTGGCGTGGGAAACCAAGGCATGTGGGTTTGAAACCCGCAGAGAATACATTAAATCTGAAACCCAAGCACCTCAGGTTTCTAATAAATACAGAGGTGTACAAATCGCTTCAATAAATCACTCTATGTTCCTGGGCTGGGAAGTTATTATCGCATGTATCTAATTGTCACTTCTTTGTATTTCCTATGTTCTTGTTATCTTGATGTGGTCTCAACACCTGTATTTCCTTCTGTATAATCAACACTTGACCTGTATTTAACATCACACAAGAACTCATCATAAGCTCCGCTTGCATATGAGTATAATGAAAGAATAATAATAATAATAACTATTAAATCTTAATACTGCATAATGAGATTAATTAAATTGATATTAAGACTATTAAATATTATGATTCTGATCTCAGATACAGTTACATAGTCAGTTTAGTTAAGATTAAATATCTGTATTATAAGAATATATCTCTTCAGAGAAAATTAAACCATGTGCAGTATCTCTTAAAAATAGCTGTTAAATTCATCAAAGATAATTAAATAGCTTACAGACTGAGCTATACAGATATTGTTTTTTTTAAAAAAAATTAGTTATTACAGAGCAATTAAATTAATGATTTACAGAGAAGAATAATAATAATAATAAAAATATACAATTCTACTATATTACAGTTCATCTGTAGAATTGCTGTTTTCTAATACAGACTAGCTCTGTAATAATTAGTATATCAAGACTCATATACTATAAAAATATTTTAACTATAGTTTTACTTAGATAGATTATACTCATACTGATACTTACTTACTCATCTCTAGTGAGTACATCACATCAAAACAATAAAAACACTGAAATAATAAAAATCAAGAATTACATTCTTATTATAGCTCTCTATATTAATAATCAGTAGTTAATCTATAATAAATAAATTATTTACATCATTCTCAGTATGCATATTATCTCTGAATTGTTTCATTTTCTTCTCAGTGAGTGATAAGAGTGAGTTATTATCAATTTTAATAAGATTAATTCTCTATTTTCATCTCTTCTTATTCTGCTCTTTTTCTGCTTTATTCTCTCTATATCACATGATTTTTCCATTTACATTCTTAACAGTGAGAATACTTTTCAGCTGAATCTACTGATGATTTGTTTTAACTCTGTAATATCTATTTACAATTAAATAGTTCTTTAATTCAGCTGTTTACTGCTCATTAAGTTTTACATAAGATAGACTAGCTTTGAAGATCTTTTTCAGATGATCTGTCAAACTGAGTGATTTCAAATTCAGAGTATTCTTAATACTTTAAATAGCTTTTTCTATAATATTATCATATTAATCTGATGTTACAGCTTTTAAATTATCTTTAATAAGAATAGCTGAGAAGAGAAGATAGTTATATAATTAGAAGTTTCATCATCTTCATCATATATCTTAAGTGAAGAAGATAATGAAATTCTCTACTTAAGAGTATTAAGAAGATGATCAGAGTTTTATAAATATATATTATATTCATCTTATTCTGTAGCTATTATATTATATTTAAATATCTACTTCTGAATATCTGATAGATCTTGTGAAAACTACTGTTTTTCATACTTTTCAAAGCTGTAATATATAGTATAGTTGACTGCTTTCAAATAATAATACTTATATTACTGAAATAATAGACTGTTCAAAGAATGAAGTAAATGAGTGATATATAAAGAAAATTCATATAAAATTATATTATGAAAATTAGTATATCACAGAAACTTCTCTATTATATAAGATTTATAATTAATTATTAAAAGTAATTAATAACTACTCTTTTATCTCTTTTTTATAATCTCATTGAAGTGTTTAAGTTATTCAAAATTAATCTCATTATTTATAAATTCAGTATCTAATATAGTAATCTTATAATTGTCAGACAAATCAGTCTGTGTATATCAATTCTTCAAATATGATTTTAAGATCAAGATTATTCATAATGAAATAATATAACAGCTAATGAATACATACTTAATAACTGTTATTAAATCTCTTAAAGAATATGAAGAAATAATAAAATTAATCTCTTTAAAAGTAGTTCTAATTCATTCTTCTCTTTCTTATTCTTCTTGAAATTCAATTTCATCAAAGTTGTAAACATTGCAGGTATAAAACTTATACTACTTGAATAGAATTCAGAGACTGTTAAATTAAGTTTTAATATATTTAATATCTTCAACTGATAGCTGCTTCAGATTCATTGACTTCTACTTCACTCTCTTATACTCAGATAGACATTTAATAAACCTGTATATTTATATCTTACTGACTTTTAAGAGAGAGATAGTAGAATCTGTATAATAATATTTAAGAATTAAATTCATAAAATCTTGAATGTGTTCAGTTATAAGAGGGTAATTTTTTTCATCTAGTATCTTAATTCATTATTTAATCATGTTCTTCTGACTCTTATTTAATCTCTTATTAACTAGTATCTTTGCAGTATTCAGATTTCTTTCATTAATATACACTCAGAGATATTAATAGAGAATATTAAATTCTCATAAAAGAGATAGTATTTTAAATTTTGAATTTTTTTTATAGACAGTAATGACTTGCTGAATACACTCTTTAATATTTTCATCTTTATTCAATACTGTGGTGATTATTAATTAATTAATGAAGATGAAAATTAAGAATTTACAAGATTTTTATCATTTCAGTGTTTTTATCATTTTGATGTGGTGCACTCACTAGAGGTGAGTGAGTAAGCAGCGGCACGAGTACATGACAACATTATCCTCCAACTCCAACACTGCTTTCAACTGCTTCGCGCAATTAATTCGTCACCCAATGTCTTACTCCTTCCGTACAACTTCTACCAATTCTTTTTGATACTACCCACCCCTAAGGTCGCTTTTTGGCTCTACCCCAGGCCAATGGATTTGTATATGTCCATGGTATTTCCTCGATAACTTTGCGCAAATATCTTGGCCTATCGCGTTCACCATAGCTTCATTAGTTCGACACTTCGCCGAATTCCCGTAGAGCTTATTGAACGCCGCCTCTCTGCTATAAGCATACATAAATAACGAGACGACAAAGGAAGTCACTTTGATAAGGATTTCCGGCCCCTGGAGAGGGAACTCCGTATAATGTCATCACATTACAATACGGAGCCACCACCAACGGCCTCCGCCACCCTCAACACCACCGCTGGCCCGCTCCACATCTCCCTTTTCGCCAAACAGGCACCTCTCGCATGCAAAAATTTCCTTCAACATTGTTTAGACGGGTACTACAATGGGACAGTTTTTCACCGTGTCATACCAGACTTCATCATCCAGGGTGGTGACCCCACAGGAACAGGCTCGGGAGGCTCATCCATCTACGAAGATCCAGAGTTCGAATTCGACCCACGTGATGGGGAAAAAGTGATATTCAAAGATGAGATACACAGTAGATTACGATTTAATCGGCGGGGATTGGTTGGGATGGCCAAGGCAGAGGATGGGACGTACGGGAGCCAGTTCTTCGTGACTCTGGGGAGTGGTGCGGACCGGCAGTTAACGGGGACATGTACGATGTTTGGACGCATTGAAGGGGATAGTATCTATAATGTCGTGAGGATTGCAGAAGGGGAACTGGTGGGGGGGACAGAACGACCCGTATATGCTGTAAAAGTTACAGGGTGCGAAGTGGGCGATTTGGGTCCTTTCAAGGAAGTTTTGAAGAAGCGAGAAAAGTTAGCGCATGTTGCGCCGGAGAAAAAAGCGGAAGGAAAGCGGGACGTGGCTAAGAAGAGGAAAAAGGGTAAAGGCGCGAAGGTATTATTGAGTTTTGCGGGCGACGAAGAGGATATCATAGAAACAACTCGGGAAACGAAGAAGCCCAAATTCAATACAAGGCTTGTCACAGCGGGAAAAGATACGGTTCAGGAGCATAGCGAAAACAGATACGAAAGATACGAACATAAACAACAACCCAAAGCCGCAAGAACTTCTCCTACGCACAAAGGCCAAGTAGATATCGACCTACAGCAAACCCACCCGAAAAGACGAACATCTATATCCCCTTCAAATTCCCCGCTCACAAGACCGAGACCATCATCACGAGATCCTAATACCCAACTGCCTCTTCCGGACCCAGAAGTCCCATCCCGCTCTCCCTCCTCCTCCCCCGCCCCTCCCGCAAAGCAATCAGTCTTATCACGTACCACTGCCGAGATTGATGCACTCAAAGCATCCATGCGTCGCAATGTCGCTACAACCACCGAACCTACGCGGAAAAAGTCTGCACTTGAGTCATTGATACCCGAAACATCAATAAGGGGCCGCCGACGACCTGCCCCGGGCAGCACTAGCGGCGCTGGGTTAGGGAACGGGACATCGCAGGATAGCGAGGCAATGAGAATCTTCAATGCGTTTAAAGCGCGATTAGAACAGGCGGATTTGATATCCACTCGATCCAAACCCACGGATAAAGTAGACGACAGCAAAGACACAAATTCCAAACACACTAATGACAAGAAACCTCCTTCTACCAAAGCAGGGGAAGAAGGCAAGGAGGGAGAAGAAGATGAGGAGCATGAAGAGCAAGTCTGCGACCTCCATTTTATCGCGAACTGTCAATCCTGCCGCGCGTGGGACACGAGCGCGATCGCCGCGCAAATAGACACTGACCTAGCAACCACTACCCGCAACCATGGCCGTGAGGATGACGACGATGACAACCCCATTGACTGGATGACGCATAGGCTAACCTTTGGCAAGGACATGCTGGGCAAGGATCTGAACTGGAAGCGCACTCATGAGGACGCGGATGGGCTCGTAGTGATTGATCCACGCGAGAAGGAGAAGGAGGTTGTTGGAAATGGTCCTGCTGCTGGTGGTGGTGGTGGTGGTGGGAGGCGGCGCGAGCGCGAGCGCAAGCGGAAGATAGAGATGGGCCATCGGAGGGAGTGGGACCGGAAGGGGCGATAGAAGGCCATGTGCTGTATGTAGAGTGCCTATATTATCTGATGAATGGATGATGTTTTTCTCCTATTAGATGTTTCCATTTCCTCGCAGAGTAATAGGAGTTCAATGTATTTGATGCATATACCCCCCTATTCCTGTAAGGTAAAGAGGCGATGTAAACAATCCTCATATCAGTCAGGTATGTACATACATTTGTCTGCCCCCTGAACCCGTTTCGGTTTACATACAACTCGGGGTTTATGGGATGTGCTATCTCCAGTCATGTATTTGCCATCTAGTGAATATTTCCCCCCTTACTCCATCAATCCCCTTCGTGCCCATTCACGGAAAGTGTGGGATTCAAAATAAAAATCCTTGATATATATTCGTTCTTCTTTACCTAGGACGTATACGGAAGAAGCACAACCAACCACCTTTCCTTTTGTCCATTCAAAATGAAGTGCAAAAGAGCCGGCCCCCGATAACTCCCCACGGCCACCAACAGAGCCCTGTTATATGTTCATGAATTAATGTCAGCCAGTGGGAAAAAATGGTCAAGGAAGCTGAAGCGGATCGAGCTATATATATATTATTATAATAATCAATGAGGAGTTGAAAGAAAAATAAAATAGGATAAGTTAAAATCCCCTCGAAGATTTACATCTTGCCACAGTTGCGAAGTAGCCAACTGACGGTATTTCCCAAACAGTGAGGGTTGAAAACGAGGTAAAAAGAATTAAAAATTAAAAAAAGGACTGCAGAAGAACCGGCGCATGACAGCCAAAGATGAGAAAGGAAAAAAGGCAAAGCCAAATATAAAATACTCGTATTGAGCTAGAATACGGGCCCGGTACTCGTCATAGCTCCCACATAATGGGCATGGCCAGACTACAACCCAGACGCAGGGTAAGACGCGTAGGTGGGTAGGTCCTATGACGATCACAGCACAGTATAACACAAAAAGCAGCCACTACGAGAAGTGAAGACCATAAGTGAAGGAAAAAGGAAAAAAGAGAATGAAAAAGGGAGGGCCAACACAACGCCAGAAATGATTTGAAATGATTGAGCGTGGTGACAAATAGAGTAGGAGAAGGGGCGGGGAGTATCAAATAAAAAGGACAAATAGATAGACAAAGTAGACATTAAAAACAACAGCTAGAAAGCGAATGCTCGTGACTTCCATTGTTTCCTCTTCTTCCTAGCGGCATGGCAGGCCACGGCTTTGCCATCATATATCCAAAGACAGGTGTAAATTAACGGACTGGTAGTAACGAAAAGAGGTCGAAGGACGTACATCTTGAATCAAAGGCAATGGAGAAGAGGGTTCCATCTATCTACAAACGATTATGTAGACAGAGAGGGCGTGCTTAAAAGAAACGGTTCAAAGGGCTGTGGGCTAGGATTTTGCGAAACAACCAGGTTGATGATGTATTGTAGAAATTGAAGCTGAATTAGTGGCCCGTTTCTCTAATCCTAGCACATACTGGATATACAGGCGCTTGGTCCCAGTTCTAATATTTGCTGATCAGGAAACAACTTAGTTGGAATCAGAATATTTGGTTTCCTCCAATTAGGTACCTGGTAGAGTGCCGACGTCAGAGCAAGGTATATTCGTGAGAGCGCAAGGAAAGGAACGAAGGAGAAAAGCCAAAAAGGAGAAAATATGAAGAAACAGAATACGGAAAATGATTATATGAAATATACGGTGAAAAAACGTAATCCTTATACAACTGGACGACTATAATGCAATTCAGATGAACATGATATCCCGCGAGTTTTCCAAGATTAAAGAAAAAGAAGTGCGTTTGCAACGCAAACAGGAATCACGCAGGGAAAAGAAAAATACAACAGCAGCGAGGAAGACGGTTTTTGAAACATGTTTTTGTCGTTTTGTCATATATTTTCTTCACAAACACTCAGTTGTAGGAAAGAATGCGCACCCTCCGATCACAGTGTCCAAATCTGATAGAATGTCTGTTGACATTTCTTGTCGAGCAAACAAGGAAGAGTTGTGGATTGTTTTTGGGAGGGAAGGGGGGGACGAGGCTCCAAATTTTATGATTGTTAGGGTGCCCCAAAAATTAAGATCTAACGTTTCCATATAATCCCGGTGTAAATAACTTTTGTATTTTAGTCTCTCTTTTGATTTGGTTCATTTCGTCATGCGTCATTGAATCGTAAAGACATTACCCTCGCTGGGGGTAAATAGAGGGCCTGAGTGGATTTGTGGGTATTGTCTTTCATTCATGAAATGGTATACATTTGTCGCCGTAAATTGATTCGGTGATCAGGGCTTTATGAAGTATTTACTCAACAATTATCTCGACGTTAGAGACAGATCTCAGCTCGTCGCTCCCTCGAGTCTGATGTCCATTCTGGCGGCGAAAACCTGAGCCGCGCTCGGGAGCTGGGCCTCTAGGCTGTCTCATGGGGATGCGCTCCTGAGAAGGTTGTGAATCAAAACCCAGACCAATTGATCTATTACTCCCAATTGGAGCAGTGGCGGATGATTGGGAATCCTGTTGTTCCCAGGAAAACATTCCGCGAAGCCGTCTAGGGCTGCCGGAATTAGGCCCACCAATGCCAGTTCCAAGGGAGAGTCCACCTAAAGTGTTTACCAGTAGGTTATCATCGCGTTGAATTGCCATTGAAGAACCGGAAGGAGTAGGGGTCAAAGTTGGTGTGTTAGATGCAGCGCTAGTATTTCCATCGAAAGGCTGGAAACGAGTCCCATTAGACTGGAGAGCCGCAGGAAAACTAGCAGAAGAAGGCACCGGAGATGGCGTATAGGATCGCAGGTCGGCGAAGGACTTGGCTGCTCGAAGGTTTTGTGCATTACCAAAGCTACTGGGCGAGTCGAGCACACTGAGGAAACCAGAGTGATGTCCACGAAGGGTGTTAAAAGGACCAGGGCCATCACCTCTAGCCTCGCTGAAGTCGATTGTCGCAGCACGGTTGAGCCCACGGCGGGATGTGTCGGCCGTCTGGACAGTGGCCGGATTCGCTGGTCCCTGAGGGCTAACATTCGAGTCTGTTGCTCTGAACACGTGAACCTGACGCTGGTCACCAGTACCTCGGGACGCATGCCCTAATCCCATATTATGAGCAAGGGTATGAACTGTACGGCGTTGCAGTGGCGATAACTTCGCAGGGAATATCAGGGCTTCCTTGCTCGAATCTTGCTTAAATAAGAGAAGTTGAGAGTAGTATTGAAGAGTTTCGGGTTCGTTCATGTTAACTTCTATTTGAGTCAGCCAGTGAATGGAGAAAAAGTATCACAAAAAGGAGAGTTGAAATAACGCACTTAATTCCGCACCACGTTGGGAGACTGGAGACGGGGAAGTCACGGGAATGTGCGATGTCAACGATGACAATGAAGGCTGGGAATTGAGTTGGGAGTTTGGCATTGGGCGATGTTGCTCCTCTAATTGACCCCTGCGCTCACGCTTTTCACGCTCAATCCGCTCCCTTTCCTGCAAGGGAAGCATCTTCTTATATTCAACTCTAAGTTTCCTTCCCTGTAACTCGAAATGGTTTAAGACTTCGATTACAGTGGCTGTTTCCTCAGCAGAAGTGAAATTGGCGAACGCTAAACCCCGGAAGACACCGTTGTCGAAATGATAGTTAAACGCGTAGGGGAGGGGGAGATTCATCTCTGTCATCAATTGGACTAGCTGTTCTTTTTTCACCGCAAATGGGATATTTTTGATCACTATAGCGGTCGGAATAAGCTCGTCGTCTCCTTCAGGACTGAGATTCTCTGAACGGTTCTGCATCGGCTGGAGGGAATTGGGTCCTAAGCTGAACGGGCCTGCGAGTCCTGGTTGTTGGTCAAGCCAAGTCTTCGACCACTTATGTTAGTTTGGGCGAGATCAAAAGGGGGTTAAATGAACTTTTGTTTTCTTCTTCTCCCACTCAAAGTAAATCACAAAGTCAATCACAAAAGGGGATCTGGGTAAGGCAGGTAACTGTTGAAATCAAGGACTTACAGCGGGCAGTCCAGTCCTGCCGCGCGCAGTCGGCTTCATCCTTCCCGTGCTGGCTCCAGTTCCAGACCCGATGCCGCTAAGAGTATTTGTAGTTCCAAATCCGTTTGAATTCCAAGTCTGAGAGCCAGACATATCGTATGCATAGGAGTTCCCTTGAAGGACTGGGTTTAGGCGATCCAGCCGAACGGAGTCATATCTAGCCATCGGATCGTCGTATAGTCCAGTGGTCATCGGGCCATAGGCATCGAATTGCCTAGATGATTGACGGTGAAGTTGCTGGTGGGAATGATGGCGTTGCGAACCTGGGGATCGGGAGGAGGGGTTGTCGTGATACATGTCCTGAGGCTGAGGATGGTAATTACTCATGGCGACCGCTAATGAACGGAAGCCTGCCAGAGGGGAGTGTGTGGGTGGTAGAGGATTGAGGAATTTTTTCTTTCTTTTTCGTCGTTTGTAAATGGCAAATGGGTAAGACACGAGGCCACAAAAGCAACTATTCAACCATAAGAGGCGGAGATCGTAACGAGAATATGAGTATAGGATCGCGCAGTTAAAGACTTCGCTATTAATTTCTTCTGAGGGATATCAAACTTTCCGTAAACGCGTAAAAAATCAGGAAGATTTTGGTTGGTCGATTTTGTGTCACTTGGTTTCTAAGTGGTAGACTCCAGGATCAGATGCTAACGGCAAGTGGTTTTGTGTGTTTTGTCGACAGACTGGGAAATCTGCAGGAATTTCGTTCGGGGCCGTGGACAACAACGAATGAAAGGGAAAAGAATTAAAGTCGCGGATTTTGGGGGAATACAGGGAATCAGACGCGGTAGGCCAAATCGTGTTCATCAGTCGTATGCAGCATCAAGTCGTTACAGGAGAACGAAAGAGGCGCGGAAGGGACCACCACCAAAGACTCAATTTGATGCTGGTCTGGTGGAATTTTTTTGGAATTTCTTTTTATTTTTTATTTTTTATTCTTTTATTTTATTTTTTTTATTTTTATTTTTTGGTTGATTTGATTTGATTTGATTTGCTCCGACACGAGACGGGACGGGAGGGGCCAGCTAGGATCCGAATCTGGTCTGTGTGTTCAGCGGGCGGAATTAGTTGTCGAGATGCATGCAAAGGAACCTGTACATGTCATGTACACACAAAGGCAGCAGAACAGACCAGCACGAGGAAAAAGCAGCCGGAAGGGATACGGTTTTGGTTGGAGGGAGAGATGGGTGCCAGCCAGGACGGTAAGTGACGAGATGGGCTACGATGGGCTGTTCCCCGGGGGGGAAAGAGGGGGAGGGGGGGCAAGAGGAAGGAAACGGGGGAGACCAAGACCAAACGCTCAGCACCTCGCCGTTTGTCCAGTTGTCGTAGTCCGGGAGGGTCCAGGCAAGCGGGATTTTGCTCGAGCCGCCAAGGGGATCAAGCGATAGAGAGGAGTCGAACAGGATGAACGAGATGGCTGACCGAATGGGGGGAGGAGGGAGTTCAGTAATAAGCGGAGAGGGGGGACAGGAGGCAGGGTAACACGAGAGAGACGCCGACGAACCCAAACGGGAGAACAGCCAAAGAGACAGCAGAGAAATATATATAGCGGTTCCGAATACACGGAGGGAGAGGGAAGAAGTAGACGGAGACGAAGCAGAAGAACGAGGAGCAACAAGAGATGAAGAGAATGAAAAGAGAAGAGAAGAGAGAAGGGAGAAGAGAGAAGAGAAGGGCGACAGGCGAAATTAAAAGGATGAAGGCGGATGGGATAGGGATGAAGATGGGGATAGGATGAGGTTGAGGTTGACGTTGAGGTTGAGGCGGAGGAGAAAGAGAAAAAAAACGAGCGTGGAGAAAGAAAGAAAGAAAGAAAGAAAGGAATGAACCCCCGTTGCTGTTGCTGCAGCCAGAGGCGGTTAGTGTGTGTCTGGCACCGTGAAATTACGCCTGCATTACACACATTATTACCGACACTTTATCAGCGGCACACCATTAAATACAATTATTACTGCACTCATGACCGAAAGATTACTGTAAGTCTGTCCAGCGTGGACCAACCGCCTGGTTGGTGGGTTGATAGTGGGTCGGGTCACGGAAAGGTATCCTGTAGCCACTACACCGCTGGACGGGTACCTCGGCGGTACTTCTGTCACTCCCGCAACCAGCAGAAATACAAACAAGCCCGGTATTATTGAAGACGGACCAAGAATAGGATAGCGCAGTACGCTACAGTACTCTTTACCACGTAGCGTATACTCTGTACAGAGTGCGGAATGCCTTCCCCTAGTATGTATGTATACTATGTATGTACTACTGTACTCCGTACTGACTCACTAGTTCATGCAAGGCAGAAGGCCGACTATTTGCTATTAATTACTTGATAAATATAATGAAGTAATTCATGCTTCCATGTTATCATGCCGCGCGGTCGCGAACTCATACAAACTCATCACCATCATTATTATTATTCTATTATCATTATTACTAGTACAACTAACCCTGCTCCCTCCAGCATAAAAAGACACGCGACTCGTCCCCCGTTTTTATGACGCGATTTTATTTTATTACGTTTATTTTACTATCGTTGGTTAGTAGTGGAAGAATCCGAACCCACTCAGGGGTTTGTTTCTCCCTTTGCACTCTCTGGTCCTTCCTCCTTCTCCTTCTCCTTTCCCTTTTCTTTTCTTTTGCTCTTCGACTCTTCTCTGGCCGCTTCTCCGAGTCCGATGTGGGGATAAACCAAGCCATGCTTCATATGGCGCCGCCCCAAAATTTCCACACCATCTATCTCATCATCAACAAGCCAAAGCGCAATTGCCCAATAGTCAAACCCCTAGCTTGGCGGGACGGAGAGTCTAAATCTATCCCTGGTATTGTATTGTTATTATTATTGGTCCTGTCAGGATACAGTCTGTCATATGAGCCTGTCACGTATGGATAAATGAACACTCTGAAATAGACTTATACGGGCAAAATCCGTCACCAGCATCTTTATAAGTAAATATCTGTCAGGAAAAAGAGGTTATACACTACTGAACGCCACCAACATCGTATTACTACTATATTTCTCATCATCATCAGCTTACTACAATGCTCGTCTAATACTCGCTTATGCTAGCTCTCTTGGCTCGCACATATATTTTACTATAAATAGCTCTATCTTTTGTATGAAATAGATATATTAGATAGTGTACAGATAATATAACAAGCAGATCTTGATACACATAAGATTCATATGTCTTCAACATATTCATCCGTGACACCCATTCCGACAGTTATGAGCCCGGTAAGCAGCATCTGAAGAGAAGTGCAATACACCGATCCCAATCCTCATTTGAACTGATAACTATCATTCAAACTGAGACAATTGATCCTCATTCGTATACAGTCCGATCTACTCAACCGTTATACACTGAATCCCGGTAAGCAGCATCTGAAGAGAAGCGCGATACACTGATCCCAATCCTCATTCGAATTAGATAACTATCATTCGAACTGAGACGATTATACACAATCCCAATCCTCATTCAAACTGATAACTATCATTTGAACTGAGATGATTGATTCTCACACATATACATTCCGAAATACTTGACTGTTATACACCCCGAATTCTGATCATATTCTCAAATACTTGAACCAATTCCACAATCAATTCAATATAACCGATATGACAGACAAGACAATGTCTAGTGCAACAGTACACCTTAGCATTCCTGGAGATTGGAACTTTGGTACAAGCATATGCTGGGATATGCAAAGGACAAGAAGATATCAGACTTCATCAACCTTGATAAACCTGATATCTTCTCTGAACTAGAAGAAACTCTGGAACCTGAGTGTCCAGAAGTCACCGCGGAGGTCAATTATTATTATTATTATTCTTCAATTATAGATGTATGCAGTCAGAGACTATGACATCTACCTGAGAACTTTTAGTTCTCAGGGTTTTTCCTATATCTGTAAAGTTAACTATTATACATTCATCAATTTCAGATATATAAAATCAGAAAATTCCAGCTCAGAATATAAAAACTGTTTATAAATTACAGTGTTTTAACATCTTCTAATACTTTGAAATCATTTGATAATATCATGATAAAAGAAAAGAGAACACAGTCTTAAAGATAGATATATTAAAAAGAATAGAAAGAAATTAAAAGAAAAAGATAAAGTAAAGAGAGACTGTAATAAAATAAATTATTAAAAGATAGTATATAGCTATTTTAACAGACTATATCTGATTAATTTTTCTCTCTTTATATTCAGATATTTCTGAATTTAGTTATTTTCTTATAGCTGCTTAAGTTTCTGATAGAAAGTCTATTAAGTATTTAATTTCTATCTCAGTTGAGAATAAGAATCTTATATTTAATTGATTTAAATTATACTTCTCTTTCAATCTGACTCTAAGACTATTATATAATACACAGTATATTATAATATACTCAGAATTTTCATTTATATTGTAGAATAAGCATTCTATTAAGTTAAATTTATCATTAAATCTTTATATATAAGATTTAAAATAGTTATATTCTAGTTTTAACTGTATTATAGATGAGAATATTTTCTTTTTATATTTAATTAAACAAGATTTTCACTTAAGTTTTATTTTAAATCTTAAATAATATACACTCTTCTTTTATTTCTGTCAGCTTTTATTTCACTTATTTAAATAAGATTCTTTTATTTTTCTCTTTATAAAAGATCAGAATATAATTTTTTAAATAGATCTGCTTAATTCTGCACTCTTTTTTACAGCTGAATTAGTCAATTCATTGTCATGAATATTCATATAAGCAGAAACTTAGTGTAGATGAATTATTAGCTTTGATATTCTTCTCTTTTGAATTTTTAAAACAGAGTTTAAGATCAGTTCAAGATTCATTTAATTATTATAAATCTGACTATTTCTAAGTCTTTTTAAAGCAGCTTGACTATTAGAGAATATTCATATCTCTTTTAAACTATTTTCTCTTTTATAAGATTTTATTTCAATGAGTTTGAAAGCTTTTACTATTATTAAAGACTTCAGATTCACAGTCTAAATTTCAGAAATCTGAGATAAAATTAATATTATCTTCAGAATAAGCAATGTCTGTGTCTAATCTATTCAAATTCTCATTTTTTGAGTTATCTGAATAAATCAGAATAGAGTCTTTTATATTAATTGTAGAAATTCTCTTTAAATACTATTCATATTCTTTCTCTTTAGATAGTTCACTTATTTATAAGTTTATAAGAGATTCAAGCTTTTCTCTTCAGAGAGATAACTTCTCATGATCAACTTTTTCAATATTTAAAGAAGAAAATTGATTTTTAATCAGAGAGTATAGTCTGTACAGTTGAGAAGATATTTTCTTTAAAGAATTATTTTCATTTCAATCAAGAAATCTATTTCAATTCAGTTCATTTTCAGAGTTAATTGATGAAAATGAAGAAGTGACTCTTTCTCTGATTATATAACTTAAGCTCATCTTTATAACTCTCAGAGCATAGTTTATACAGGCTTTTTCAAATCTAATAGCAGACCGCGGAGGCTAAGATAGTATATGATATCAAGATCACTACATGGAAAATCAAATATATGAAATATGAGAAAATGAATGAAGATATAACAAAGATATAAGATGTTATATAAAGAATAGTGAATGTCACAGAGCTATAACATGTACACAGTGAGAATGATGATGTGAAGAAGATTATCTATTCATTAAGAGATTGACTCTTCTTCACAACTGTGAACTATCAGAATAATGTGAGAACCTGATATTATAATCTCTACAAAGCACTGAAAAACAGAGATATAGAGAAGTGATTAAATAACTAATCTCTTATCAAAGATAATATCAAAGAGATAGATATAACTGAATAGTTTAACTTGAAGAAAGACTTCTTAAATATAAATCTAGCTATTAATGCAGATTATATACAAGTATGAGCTAAGAATATTCAATATAATAAAGATGTCATATCTTTGATAAAGTTAGTTAACAACTTCAAGAAATGATATAGAGAAATAGATATTCTTAAAGAAGATAAATCTATGAACTTCACTACTCTTAATAAAAGATCAGTGACATTCAGAAACTGTATCTATAAAGTCTGTCACTGATACACTCAGTGCTACTATCTCAATTATTTAAGAAAGTCACATGAATAAAAGAAAAACAGAGAGAAGAGAACTCAGATTAATCAAGCTCTTAAGAATCAAGAATTGAAGAGATATATTAATTATGTAATATTTAGAGATTTATTCACAAATACAGATATAATAGATAAAGCAGTTCTAGAAGAAATGATTCTGAAGTAATCAGATTCTCAATCTATTGATCATCAATCTATTGATTAGCAAATCTGAAAAATATCAATAAACTCTTCAAATTCTCATGTGGCGGGCTGCGTCCGATCAATCATATAGACTATTTCATTACACTTCACAGATTTCAACTGCTTTATTCTCAAATGTGTAGAAATAGTCAGATTCATAATGATCAAATGAATCTTGAACTGATCTTAAACTCTGTTTTGAAAATTCAAAAGAGAAGAACATCAAAGCTGATAATTCATCTGCACTGAGTTCCTGCTCATATGAATATTCATGGCAATGAATTGGCTGATTCAGCTGTAAAAAAGGGTGCAGAATTAAGCAGATCTATTCAAAAAATTATGTCCTGATCTTTTATAAAGAGAAAAATAAAAGAATCTTGTTTAGACAAGTGAAATGAAAGCTGACAGAAACAAAAGAAGAGTATATATTATTCAAGATTTGAAACAAAACCCAAGTGGAAATCTTGTTCAATTAAATGTAAAAAGAAAATATTCTCATCTATAATACAGCTGAAACTAGGACATGGCTATTTCAAATCTTATATACAAAGATTTGATGATAGATTTGACTCAATAGAATGCTCATTCTGCAATACAAATGAGAATCCTGAGCATATTGTAATGCACTGTGCATTATACAATAGTCTCAGAGCCAGATTGAAAGAGAAGTATAATCTAAATCAATTAAATATGAGATTCTTATTCTCAACTGAGACAGGAATTAAATATTTAATAGACTTTCTATCAGAAACTCAAGCAGCTACAAGAAAATGACTAAATTCAGAATTATCTGAATATGAAGAGAAGGAAATTAATCAGATATAGTCTGTTAAAACAGCTATACACTCTCTTTTAATAATTTGTTTTGTTATAGTCTCTCTTTACTTTATTTTTTTCTTATCTTTTCCTTTCAATTTCTTTCTATCTATCTATTTAATGTGTCTATCTTTGAGACTGTGTTCTTTTTCTCTTTTCTTTTGTCATGATATTGTCAAATGGTTTCAAAGTATCAAAAGATGTTAAAACACTGCAATTTGTAAACAGTTTTTGTATTCTGAGCTGGAATTTTCTGATTTTGCATATCTGAAATTGATGAATGTATAATAGTTAACTTTACAGACATAGAAAAAAACCCTGAGAACTAAAGTTCTCAGGTAGATGTCATAGTCTCTGACTGCATACATCTATAATTGAAGAAAAAAAAAAAATTCTCAAATGTGTACACTTCAATTCTTAGCCATTCTCAATTATCAATTCTCAGCTATTATATATATGTATAAATATTCACTTCAATCACTGATTCTTGTACTTTCTCTTTTCTTTTCTTCTCTAATGTTTTTCTCTTTGTTATATAAGATCTATATATTATACTGATCTATTCAGCGTAGGCTCTCTATACTAGAAAAACATTCATTGTCTTCTTATTAGAAATGATTATTCACATATTATCTTCTCATTAGAAATGATTATTCATTGAGAGATATCTAAATGTGTAACAATATGTAAGAAAGAGAAACACAGTTAAGCAGATATTAAGTTCTCAGATAGAAGCTTACTCATCAGTCACTCTGACTCTGTAATAAGATCTTATAAAGAGAATGTCAGTGAAAGACCTGAGAGTTCTGACACTCAGATATATGAAAATATGATTACACTTCTTCAGATTTCACAGATATTATACATCTGATAAAATGATATAATCATGTTTAATAATAATATGAGAGAACTCTTAAGTGTGAGTATAGAGATAATATCACAGTGACTCTGAGCAATGTTGAAATTACAACAGTAATAAATAGCAGACATGCATGCAACTCAATAACTTCAATACAAAGATATTCAATAATTAACTTATACAATTTCAACATCTACAGAATTGAATATAAAAGTACTGAAAGAATGCTTAGATACTTCTATATATTTTAATACTTTTAATCTCACTCTCTACTCATCATGAAGAATGGAAATGATCATAAAACTGAGTGTAGATGAAGATGTCATCAGTTCATTAATTAATCAAGATTAGTATATCAATGAACAATTAAAGAATTGCATAAAACAGAAATTTCATTTATGAATAAAAGCATGTAAATCAGTATTGTGAACACCTGATAACATTATGAGACATCTTGATATTTTGTTTCAAGACACTGTTATACAACAGAAAGTATTAGATTGATTACAGAGTACTTAACAGAGAAACACTTCTCTTACAATATTCATCTCTGACTTCAATATCAAGATTCTAGAAGCAGATAATCAATCTTCAAAGAATTGAATGAAGATTAGCATACTTAAGAAGGTATTGACTTTTAAACTCTTACAGACTCTTGTAAGTGTAGACAAAGATCAGACTTATAAAGACTTCTGCACACAGCTTCAGACATTGACTGATCATCTTATCAAGCTCAAAAGTATACAGAACAGTGGCAGAAGATATTACATCTCAGTCACTTATACACTCATACTGAAGAGAAGTAACAGTAATAATGCAGATATTATAAACTGAATAGATTCAAATGTCTATACATAAGCAAGAGTTTTCACTGTTTAAACAGGCTTCTGAGTTTCTGAGATCACTTCTGAAGAAGTCACTGATTGACTGTAACGTGGCGGAACTGAAGCAGTGACTAGTCAGCGGCGACATGTAGAGGTAGTTGTTTGAGAAGCTGTATGAGTGAGCTTGACTATCTTGCTTAAATAGTGAGCTTGTAGACTACAGAGTTATTATGAGAATATCACAGATATGATACTTAGTATACTAAGAAGATTATATGAGACATGCAGTAACTCTTGTATATATTTCAGTCAGAGTAAAATAAATCACTGACTTCTTTTATAAGAAGCCAGCATCTAGCTATTCTATATAGACAATGAATAAATACCTTCTCTCATTTCATGAGTGAGAACAGCTGAAGTAATACCTCAGTGATGTCTCACTGTCAAGAAAAAGTAATCTGCTAATCTTATATAGAAGTGAGATTCTCATATTCATCAATCAGATCTTTCTATGATATATTTAAATGATGTCATAGAGCAGTTGAAAACCAGTTCAAACAGTCTGTAGAATGAATAGAATTATTCACATGAAAGTAATAAGCTGTGTGAAATCACAGCAGAGTCTTGACATGGCTGAAAGTATAATAATACTCTTCTCTTTAAGAGCATAGTCTCTATGCTCTTAAGATTACTGAATTAGAAATTATCTTTGTTATATAGCAACAGTTATCAACTGATTTGACAGCATGTGTGCTGTGTGTGATATAAAGAAATAGATGAGTTTTTCTGCTGACTGTGTAGATCTTTCTTTTCTCATTATTATTCAAATTAAACATATGATAAGTGAGTTTCTTATATATCAATTTAAAATGTGAGAAATGTAGTTAATAAGTGACTTACAGATCTTTCAACATATTCTGTTCTATATATGAAATTCTCTGTAAAAGTGATGTGTTTTAGAGACAAAGCTAACAGTAGTAGCAGGATTTTTTTGAAAAGATTTTCTCTTCTCTGTGATATATTTTTCTTCTCTCTCTCTCATCTGTAATAGTGAGTGCATGAGAGTATTATTCTTAAAGAACAGTAGAGGACTTATTCTGATATTTTCTAGTGAGTAAACATCTTTGTGATGCGGCAGCGGCCTCCGTGGCTGCTAAGAAAGCCAGATTGAAGACAGAGACAGCAGCATCAATGAGCCACAGGAGCACTGCTCTTATTGTCATATCTTCTTCTTCTCCTGCTTCTTTTGCAGCTGCAGCGGTAGTCACCATGCCTTGCAGTGAGATGTCATCCCTTCTGCTGATCAGTTTGTCCATGTCTGTTTCATCCTCTGCCCCCCCTGCTGCTGTCGCGACACCGCCCCCTCCCCCAGTCAATACAGTGGTGTATGACCCTGTGTGGTCATTCAGAGAGGAACCCGGGGAGAGTTTGATTTCAGGAACAGTGACTCTGAGAAGCTCAATCTGTAGTTCCCCTCCTGCAGCACACCTGAGCCCTGCTCAGAATGCTGCTGAGTTGAGTCTGCAGAGTCCTGCAGTTTCTTCATCTTCTCTCTGTGAGAAGGCTCTGATACAGTCTCTGACCAGCACTGCTACTTGTCTGCACTGTGTTAAACAGCTGAAGAAGAGAGGAATCTTATATATCTGCTTCTTCTCTCACTTCTGTTATTTTCATTATGTCTGTAACAATGACTCCTGTCTCTCTATAAGTATTATCTCACAGAAAGATGTTATATCAGCTCTGATAAAAAGTCTAGATACTTAAGTAGTACAGAGTGAGAGTCTCAGAGCTTTAAGTATTAACAGATTTCATTAAGACTGAGAAGATCTCTCTTACTCATCTACAGAAGAAGATGAAAGTGTGAATCTCTGAGATGAAAAAACATCTTAGAATAACTGATCTTAAGAAGAAATCAGTCAGCACTGCTGTTGAAAGTATCATAGAGATTAATTACTGATTAAAGAGAATCTTACTTCAGTTGAAGTAGATAACTGAGATGCTTTGTAAATTAATAAATTAATACTTTCAGCATCTCTCATACTCTTCTGCAGCATACTTCTCTATAATATTACAGCACTAACTTCTCAGCAGATAAAGATATCAGTGCTGAAGACTTCAATAATGAAGAATGAGTTTAATGAGAATGTGATTATTAATAAGTAGATTCTGATCTCTCTTTTTACTTTTTCAGTAGACTGTAGCTCTATTAGAATAGCAGCAGTCTGTAAATTAATAATATTAATTTTTTTATTGATTTTTAATATCTCTTTTCTCTAACTGCTTCAGAAATTTTACACTTGTATAGTCTTATTAAACTTCTAAAAACTCTTTAAGAGAAAATAGAAGAAGAGTACTACAGAGTCTATAAGATACTGACTCATCACTATAAGATTATCTCTAAAAAATTCTTTAAGAAAAATGAGAAGTCTTAAGTAGCATTTCTTACTCAATGTCTCTGACATGTAATGAGACAGTCTCTACTAGTCATCTTATAGATTATAATCTCTTTCTCAGCATTTTTCAAATACTTAAGTGATTTTCATGAATTCTCTGATAATAAATAATCTTCTTATTTAACAAGATATTGAAGCTTGCTGTAATATGTTTACTTATTCAATATTTTCTTCATAAGATATTCAGTATCACTCTCAATCTTGATATTATTTGACTGAGATGACTCTGTTCTGAAGTATTACTTATAGAGCTTCAAATAGAAAATGTGAAAAACAGAATGAATTGATTTCAATTCTGTGAGTAATTTTAACTCATATGTCTGCTTACTCATTACTCTTATTACTGAGAAAGATTCTAGTCATCACTCACTGAGCTTCTTATATAGTCTTATTATCTTGATATTCTTTGCTGAAAGTAGTACTTAATCCTCTATTAAGAACTTCATTGAAAGATATTTTTAATTATAGTATTTCATCTACTACTTCTGAGTGTGATAGATACTTTTCATCATCTTCTTATAAATTTTATTCAAAAGTTTCAATCTCACTTTTACTTCTAATATTGAGAGATACTTTATTCTCTATATCTGTCTGACATTCTGACTGTCTATTTCTCTCTTTGAAATGTTGTCTGTGATGTCACTAAGTAATGAAGAATTATATTTATAATAAGTATAGAAAGAAGATATCTTTAAGATTGCATTCTTTGCATTATTATATATGAATTCAGTGATTAGAAGATGTTTGAATCAATCATTCTAATAATATAAACAGAACACTTGAAGATGCTGTTCTAGTGTCTGATTCTGATATTCAGTCTGATCATCAGTCTGCGGATGAAATGTGATACTGAGAAGATGCCTTATTATAAGATAATAGCAAAAAGCTGATCAGTACTTGCTAGTAAAGAGAGATTCTTGATCTGTTATCAATGATTTCAGAGCACTGTGATCATGAATGATAATATCTAAAAATAGGTCAGTCAATTCAGAGGCTTTAATCTTTTTATGAGTAGAAATATATCTGATCATCTTTGTGAAGTGATTAATAATGATTAAAATTAAGTTATATTCTTTGACTCTTATCAACTTTAGCAGATCAACTATGAAATTCATTGATAGATTCTGTCATGAGTTCTTTGAAATAGACAGTGATGTCAACTTGCTGTATTACTTATACTGCAGAATCTTTATTCTTTGACAGATATCATAAGTCTTAATATACTCTTTGACATCTGCTCAGAGCTTGTTTCAAGTATATTTATATTTTAGAAGCTTCTCAGTCTTCTCTAACCTGAAGTGCCCTGCATGAGGATTATTATAATAAATTCTCAATAACTTCTGATACACTGCTCTGCTATGAGAGATAAAGACTGAATTATTCAGCAGTAGAAGTTCACATTCTTCTAGTTATCAGTGACTTAGTTTCTTAACAGCACTGTTCTGCTCAGAGTCTGTCTCTTTCAAGTTTAAATCAGACTCTTTCTTCTTCAACTTCTGAATTTGAGCTGTAGTAGAGATATTCTTCTTCTGTAACTTATCAATGAATTTCAAAAGTAGTCAGATTGAAAGATTGTAGACTGTTTCATTCTTTGTCAATTCAATGATTACAAGATATGATATAAGAAGCTCATAATCTTCAGTGTCAGTTCCTCACAGAGATCCAGGTTCTCTTTCACCTTCTATACTGAGTCATGCAGCTGCCTCTCCAGCGCTGTTTTCAAGCTTTAGAGAATCTCAATCCTCTACAGCCAGCTTCTTCTGCAGTGATGACAGAGGTTCTTTTATAGAATTCTTCTCCACATCAATGATATTATAATTGAGCTATCTAGACAGTGTGTCAGCAGAGTTAAGCTGACCTGAATGATATTGAATATAGAAATCATACTCTGAAAGCAGCTCTGCTCATCTGGCTTGATATTCTATTAAGCTCTTTATTATCAAGAAGTAACACAGATTTGTATGATCAGTGAGAACTTACACTGAATACTTACTACTTTGAAGATAATATTATCAGATCTTAAAGAATTTGATAATTGCTAACATCTTCTGATCATGAGTATCATACCTTCTCTGTATGAGTGATAACTTCTTGAAGAAGAAGATCACTGATCTTCATTCACAGTATCTTATAGACTTCATGAAAAAGCCTTCTCTCACAGACAATTCATTGCCTGTTTTCTCAGAAGTGATTATTCTCTAATCCTTTTAATATTGAAAGATCTTCAGTATCAACTGTGAAAAGATTTCACAGATCTCATTTCTGAATACATCAGTCTCACACTGACTGAGTAAGTTGAGATTAAAGTGATTCAGCATTATAACATCTGTGAAAGCTTGTTTCAATTCTGCAAACATCTGTGCAGTGTCTTGAGTGAGGATAAATAATTCTGTTTTTCTGTCTTTCACACTTCTCTTCAACAGATCTGTAAGAGGAGCAGTAATCTGTGAATATGTATAGATGAATTATCTGTAGAAATTCACAAATTCTAGAAACATCTGCATCTCACAGTACATCTGTGGCACTGGTCAGTTCTCAATGACAGAGACTCAGCTCCTGTTCATTGAAATGTCATTCATCTCAATAATATAATCTAAGAAATCAATCTCCTGCATGTAGAATAAGCATTTTTCAGTGTTTGTATAGAGTTGATGCTGTCTCAAGTGACTTAACACTTCTTGAACATGGGTATCATGTTCTTTCTCTATTTTTAAGAAGATTAGAATGTCATCTAAGTATACTATGCAGGAGATGTTGACAAGGCCCTGCAGTGCCTCATTTATATAGGCCTGAAAGATGGCTGAAGTGTTACAGAGATCAAAAGACAAAACAAGATATTCAAAATTGTCATACTTAGTATGAAAGATCATTTTTCAAATGTTGTCTTCATTAACTCTGATTCTATGATAAGCATTCTGTATATCAATCTTTGAGAACATCTTTGCTTCAGATAATTGATTGATCATCTCATTAATCAATGATAGTGAATAGTAATTCTTAACTATCATCTTATTGAGACCTCTGTAGTCTACACATAGATGTAGTCTATCATTCTTCTTAAGCACAAAGAGTATAGATGTCTCTGCTGAACTCTTTGATAAATGTATTCAGTTCTTTGATTGCACTTCTTTAAGATATTTATGCAGAATATTCAACTTCTTTACAGACAAGTTATAAAGAAGCTTGTATAATACTGTTGCATCATCTTTAAGACAAATCTTATATCATATCTTGATATCAGGAAACTTTGCTGCTTCCCTTTTTAAAAAGACATTCTTAAAATCTGTAAAGAGATATTGTGTACATTCATCTTCAATAACAGATACTGCTGCTAATCTTGCAGTGAGAGTGATGACTTCTTCATCTATTCTCAAGTCTCAATCACCTGCTATGCAGTATATTGACTCAATTCTTTTCTCAAGATTCTTCTGATAAAACTCTTCAGATTTCTCTATTACTGTCTCTTCATCAGTGAGGCAGTACTGCTATATCTGAGTGACTCAGTTAATGAGAGAATTGTTTTCTCTCAATTATAAAAGATCTAGAATGATGTTCTTATCTATGATATTGACTGTATGAAGAAGCAGACTGCTCTTCTTAGAGATTTCTTCTGAGTCTGTGATCACACACTTTATCTGAATTATGTCAAAACAGTGACATTTCATTCTATCAGTAAATTTTGCATGATCTGATGAATCTATCTTCTTTCAATTCTTCATCAAAGAAAAGAAATAGAATATGAAGTTAATATCTGTCTCAGAGTCAAATAGGCATCTCACTGATATCTTCTCATTCAGAGTATACATTGTGATTGTAACATAGACTTAAAGATGTGAGAATTGTCAATTCTTTTCTTTCTCTTCTTTATCTTTCACAGATACATTTGTCAGAAGAGAAGTTAACTTTAAGAAGATATCTTCTCAGTTTCTTTTCTTCTTCAGCTTCTTACAATCACTGACATAGTGATCATCAGCTCTGCAGTTGAAACAGAGATCTTTATCAAATCTTTTTTAATATTTCTTCACAGTGAGTGAAGAATCAGAATACTTGAAATTCTTCTTTACTTTCTTCACACTGAAGCTGTCATGATGCT